TCATCATGTAGTAATCTTGAAACCCGAATCCAGTTTCTGATGATGGTGAAGTCATCATCGCAGCCATTGTCGTAGTGATCAAGTTATTATAGCTTGATCTTGAAGAAGATCTCTCTTCTTGATCTTCTTGAGTAGTTCTTGATTTTGTTATTGGACCCATTTGAGCTGCTTTCTGAAGCAAAGCTGTGGCTGACATAGCCGGAGATATTGAGTGGTGGAAGCTGGAACTTGAAGAAGAAGCAAGAGGGAATAAATTACCATTGTTCCCATTAGGGTTAGGGTTTGATGAAGCAAGCCAAGAAGGTATGTTTTGGAAGTGATGATGATCTTCTTGCTTCATAGGACAATGGAGATTTGTGAGGATGTTTTGGGATGATGAAGAAGATGAGAAATTGATGTTTTGATAATGGTGCGAAGGAGAAGGAGAGGAAGATTGATGAATGGTAATATTAGGGTTTGGTATGGCTCTTGCACTCTCTTCTGCTAATGCATCACAAAATGCTCTATGAGTTATGAAACTATCCCTCCTGCAACAATATAATTCATCCACATTAGTCACAAAATTAAAATAATCATTAATATAATTAATCAACAAAATATAATGACTTTTGAGGTTTGTAGGTCCATTCTAAAGCATGTTACATTATTTGTGGGGTGTGTCACGTGTGAATAACAAGATGATATAGATCAATATGCAATAAATGTATAATCGTATAAAAAAATATTTAAATACTTTGACTCAAGAAAGAAAAGTATTTTTTTTTTTTTTGGGTGAATACTACAACAACTTAGAAAGAAGTACCACAATAATAAATAGTTGTTTAAATGGAGATTCTTTGAAGCTATACTTTTAATAAATTTTACCAAATCTCGTCCTATTCAAAAAATTAAATGAAACTACTCATAATCCCAACAAATATATGTGTCCTTCATTTTCACATTACAACACAAATCTAAAGTTTCATCATCATTTCAATCTTTGTCTTCTTGCTTCTAAGACTTAAATATGAATGCACAAGTTTCATCAAAATGCAACAAAATAAAAAACATAATTTAAAATGTTGTGAAAGAGAGATTTATTTACCTAGAAAAGAGTGTACCACAGTCACATTTGTATTCTTTAGTGCCACAAGTCTTTGAATGAGCTTTCCAATCTGATTGCACTGCATATTTCTTCGAACACTTTTCACATTTCCATTTTTTCTCACCATGTTTACGAAAGAAATGTTTCTTGATTCCTGTTAAATCACCTAAAGCTCTTGATGGATGATGATGAACACAGTTTGGTTCTGGACACACATAGACTTTCCTCCTTATCACATCTTTGCTTGATCTTTGTTTAAGCTTCCATGGTAGATTATGTCCTCTCTTGTGTAGTTGCAAGTTTTGATCTCTTTGAAAACCTTTGTTACATATCTCACATATGAATCTGTTTGTTGCCATTAGTGTTCTTGGTGATAAAGCCATCACTTCTGCATCTGGGTCTGATTACAAAAAAACATTTAGTAACAATTTATGCAATTTTTCTATTAAACAAGAAAAAAAAACTAATAAAGTTTGGATTTTTGTTAAAAGGGTAACAAAAGAATACACTTTTCTTTTTATGAATCATAAAAAAAAAAAAACAATAATGGAAGAAGATTAATATCAAATAATGAGAATGAATACGTCCAAAAAGTAACAAAAAAAAATGAATTTCTGTCAAAATAATTTAATTTACTAATAAAGTTTTGATTTTTATTAGAAGGGTAACAAAATAATTATTAATTTACCTGGATTTCCTGGTTGGTTTCTCTTCTTTTTTTGAGGAACAAAACACTGTTCTTGAACTTCTTGATGCTGATTTGGATTCATGTTGTAATGAAAGTCACTTGTTTCAGTTTTGTTTCCTGAAGAAACACTTGCTTGATCTCCAGAAGCTGATGTTAGATTAGACATGTTCTCTTCT